AGTTGCTTCTCGTCAATAATTACAGTCAATAGATTGAATGCTCCAAGAATTATTGCTTAATTACTTCTTAGGTACAAGGCAGTGTTCTAAACTTTACATGTACTGATATATTTAATCCTCACAATAATCCCATGATAGATATGATTGTTATTATTACCCCCACTTCACAGAAGAGCGTGAGGTAGACAAGTTAAATAACTTCCCCGTGGGCACTCGCGGTGGGGTTAGGGCTGTGTGTTCTCCATCGCACACAGCACTGTCTCTCCATTTGCTGTGGGACAAGCATGTGCAATTTGCTAATATGTGTTTCTTTACCTAGTCTTGTACCAATGTCTTTACCCTGTACCAATATGGAAACCAGAGCGAGGAGAAAATGCCCAAATTCACAGCTAGTGTGAACCAGGGCTTAAAGCTAGTCTGGACTTCTGATGCCAATACCCTAGTACAAGGTCCTTCCGCATGTTCATCCTGATGAGAAATGACATGACCGTCTTCTGAGTTACTGCCAGCTCTGTGACTAGATTCGACTGTTCCAGGAACCAGCAAGGTAGCACTCGGATCTAAACATATCACTCCTCTCCCCCTTTCAGATAGCTAGACTAACTTTCATCCAATGGGGTAGACATGGCAGGACTTGGCCTAGGTTACCATCTTGAAAAGCACCTTTTCTCTAAGAGTTCAACATATGTAAAGCTTATAAAAGTCACCAAGAAGGGGCAACCATCGATGTTATGAGACAGACATCTGAAGATATGAAGATAAAATGATTACTGAGAATAGTGCAATTTCAAACGTATCACTGGAAGAGAATGCAGAATGATATATGTAGAAGTTGTCGAATTGGAGAATGTTCTGTTGTGGGTATTTTTACCAAAATTGAAAGAAAAAAAAAAGACACATGAATAGCAATGAGTACAAGGAAAAAGAAAATGCTCTAAAATGGACTGTGGTAAAGATGGCACAACTCATCTTGGTATGATTGAACAGTGGAATTCTATGGCACGTGGATGAAGTGCCAGTAAAACTGTTAAAAAAGAAAGAAGAGAATCAGGGCACAATGGGCCCCAGGCCACCCACTGGTGACACCTCCCCACATGCATCCTATTTTTCCCTCGCCCCTTCCTCTTTATAAACGAAGAATTAATATTCTCTCTCGGTTTTCTTGCTATTCCTGCTACGTTTCCACTCACCATCCCTTGTTCTCCTGACATTACAGGCCTGCCAAGCATTCTCGTGAACAGTGAGGCAGAAGAGTTTGCTGACACTTGGTCTAGATCCTGGGGAACTCTTAAAACAGGAACACCAGAAATGCCCAGACGCATCTTTTGAGTTGTTCTGTTTGTTTTTTTGATTGGACATAGTAGGGGTCTCCTCAGGAGTGCTATGTTATTGGGGGTCACCCTCTTAAAGTTACGGTAGATGTTTTTTCATTTTGTGGGGTATGAAAATCAGGACTGATGAGCCTAGAGGCAGCAAGTGGAATAAGGGTTTTGGGGGATGAGAAGGTGGTGGCGGGGTGAAAGGGTAATGATGTCAAGGGGTCCATACAAAAAAAGAATACTTGGAAAGTGATTGTGGTAGCAAATGCACAATTCTGCTGGATGTGATTGAAATATGGAATGATCTGATACATGTATTAAGCACAATTAATAATAATAATTTTTTAAAAGCAATTGAATCAAGACAGGATGGAGTGGAATCAGGCAATGGGTCAAATGTGAACCAAACAAATAAAAGAAAAGTCTTACTTCTTGCTTTCCTTTCTAGCTCCTTTCTTTTCATGAGAATTGCTGGTTTTTTAATAGATGCTTATCAGTTTTAATATTAGACTTTATAAAATTAAGTAGTGACAGATTATAGGGCAATTAATGATGAGATAAATTGCATATTCTAAAAACAACTAAGAAATCAATACATGCATAAACTACAAAATAAAAATTATAAAATTTTAGATAATTTAAAATTTTTTAACATTTTAAATTCAATGTTTTTAATACAAATAAATTTAAATGAAAAAATATCAAATAATATAGATAAGCCTTTTGATATGGGCAGTGTGGTTCAGGATATTTGCAATGCCTTTTATTTTACTTATTTATTTATATTGCAATACTCTAGTTCAAAATGAGGCCACAGGATCCTTTAATCATACTAAATTATGGTAGGACGTTACCTGGGATAGAATCTTAACAGGATGCCAAAATATTAGAAAGGGGAGGCAGAAAGGGAGAATTGGTGATTTTAAGTAGGATTAACTTAGTAATAACGGTGGT